GCGGTTTTTCGGCTCTCTTTAATTATTGACACACTAATTAATTTTTCAAAGTGGACTTCCAACAAACACTCGAGAGAGATATGCAGAGAAAGAGAGAGAGAGAGAGAAGATCCCCATGGAGACGACAGAGAAAACGAGTATACATTTCATGTGTGTTGGAAAGAGAGAGGCACATAAAAAGTGGCTGGCATCCGAGTTTTGCTGCGGTATTGATCTTTGCGAGTCGTAACGGTATGTTTGTCGGGGGCGGCTGCGGTGTTCCACCCTCAACCATCTCTCTCTCTTTTACACCAGGCGACGTTCGGGGTTCACTTTGCTCGATCCAATATTTTCCGGCTTTCTGGAGCCGGAAAATTTTAGTGCCCATAAAGAAAAAAACAACCCCATCCTCGTTCCTTTGCACCAGGAGATGCATAAAAATATTACTGAAATTGCCGAAGACGAGGAACAACAATTTGCTTAATTAATTCTTGCATCTATAATATTTAGTGTATTGCAGAAATGTTATAATTTATTTCGATCATCGCTATTCCGTTCAATCTTATTTTAGTTTTCACCGCTACAACCCAGATTCACAAACGAAATAAAACTAGACTCTCCCACGACAGGGCTTTTCAAAAACCGATATAACTTTATAATAGGAACGAACGTGTATTAATATACGCGAGATATCTAAAAATACTGCAGCGGTCCTAGATTACACTCACTCACTCACGACGGTAAAGAAATTCGTGTCAAAGGTTGAATTCATCGAGTTTCCAAGTGCAGAAGAAACTTAACTCATTTGGAACGACCGCAAATCGATCGACTTAACAAAAAAAAAAGAGAGGTTTTCCTTCGATTTTCTTACCTTTGACTTTTTCCCTACGAATCAGTCGGAATCATCTCTGCAAAAGTTGTAGTTTTTATGTGTGTGTGTGCTTCGTCTTAGCTTCTTGAAGAGGGGGATTAGATGGGCTTTTGTAATTAGGCTCCTGAAAGCAGATTAAATCCAACTCGGTTGTAGAAAGTTCTTGTAAATTCGTAAATGCGAAACGTTAAAAGGATGGATTGATTCATCTCTTCCATCAAAACTCACGGGTAATTAGAAATGCAAATTGAGTTGGAGATTTCATCTCTACTTTTTGAGGAAATTCCTAAATTTCTAGACAACTGAATCAGATCACGTCGTCAACTTAATCAACCAAATCAAAGAGTAAATCCTCTTTTTCCAGAAAATTATAACAAACGCCCCACTGGGCATGTTCAAAAGGTGGTACAATGCGTACTGAAATTACTAAAAGTTTTCATTTCGATATTAACGTAAAACTTGAACGAAAAGTTTACTTTTTTGACTGTTTTTTTGATAAAGCTTTTTGAAAAAAGTTTTTTTTGTTATATTTTACGTTAAAAGTGTGGATTTATTCATCTCTCTCATCAAAACTCACGGGTAATTAGAAATTAAAATTGAGTTGGAGATTTCATCTCAACTCTTTGAGGAAATTCCTAAATTTCTAAACAACTGAATCAGACCACTTCGTCAACTTAATCAACCAAATCAAAGAGTAAATCCTTTTTTTCTAGAAAATTATAACAAACGCCCCACTGGGCATGTTCAAAAGGTGATACAATGCGAATTGAAAAAACTAAAAGTTTTCATTTCGATATTAACGTAAAACTTGAACGAAAATTTCACAAAAAGTTTACTTTTTTGACTGTTTTTCTTGATAAAACTTTTTGAAAAAAGTTTTTTTTTGTTATATTTTACTTTAAAAGCATGGATTGATTCATCTCTCCCATCAAAACTCACGGGTAATTAGAAATGAAAATTGAATTGGAGATTTCATCTCAACTCTTTGAGGAAATTCCTAAATTTCTAGACAGCTGAATCAGACCACTTCGTCAACTTAATCAACATCGACCAAATCAAAGAGTAAATCGTCTTTTTCTAGAAAATTATAACAAACGCCCCACTGGGCATGTTCAAAAGGTGATACAATGCGTATTGAAATTACTAAAAGTTTTCATTTCGATATTAACGTAAAACTTTGAAGAAAATTTCACCAAAAGTTTACTTTTTTGACTGTTTTTCTTGATAAAACTTTTTGAAAAACGTTTTTTTTTGTTATATTTTACTTTAAAAGCATGGATTGATTCATCTCTCCCATCAAATCTCACAGGTAATTAGAAATGCAAATTGAGTTGGAGATTTCATCTCAACTCTTTGATGAAATTCCTAAATTTCCAGACAACTGAATCAGATCACTTCGTCAACTTAATCAACATCAACCAAATCAAAGAGTAAATCGTCTTTTTCTAGAAAATTATAACAAACGCCCCACTGGGCATGTTCAAAAGGTGGTAAAATGCGTACTGAAAATACTAAAAGTTTTCATTTCGATATTAACGTAAAACTTGAACGAAAATCTCACCAAAAGTTTACTTTTTTGACTGTTTTTCTTGATAAAACTTTTTATAAAAAGTTGTTTTTTTGTTATATTTTACTTTAAAAGTGTGGATTGATTCATCTCTCCCATCAAAACTCACGGGTAATTAGAAATGAAAATTAGGTTGGAAATTTCATCTCTACTTTTTGAGGAAATTCCTAAATTTCTAGACAACTGAATCAGATCACTTCGTCAACTTAATCAACATCAACCAAATCAAAGAGTGAATCCTTTTTTTCTAGAAAATTATACTAACGCCCCACTGGGCATGTTCAAAAGGTGATACAATGCGTATTGAAAATACTAAAAGTTTCATTTCGATATTAACTTGAAAGAAAATTTAACCAAAAGTTTACTTTTTTTACTCTTTTTCTTTATAAAGCTTTTTGAAAAAAGTTTTTTTATTTTGTTATATTTTACGTTAAAAGTGTGGATTGATTCATCTCTCCCATCAAAACTCACGGGCAATTAGAAATGAAAATTGAGTTGGAGATTTCGTCTCAACTCTTTGAGGAAATTCCTAAATTTCTAGACAACTAAATCAGATCACTTCGTCAACTTAATCAACATCGACCAAATCAAATAGTAAATCCTCTTTTTCCAGAAAACTATAACAAACGTCCCACTGGGCATGTTCAAAAGGTAGTACAATGCATACAATTACTAAAAAGTTTTCATTTCGATATTAACGTAAAACTTGAAAGAAAATTTCACCAAAAGTTTACTTTTTTGACTGTTTTTCTTGATAAAACTTTTTAAAAAGTTTTTTTTTGTTATATTTCACATTAAAAGTGTGGATTGATTCATCTCTCCCATCAAATCTCACGGGTAATTAGAAATGCAAATTAAGTTGGAGATTACATCTCTACTTTTTGAGGAAATTCCTAAATTTCTAGACAACTGAATCAGACCACTTCGTCAACTTAATCAACATCGACCAAATCAAATAGTAAATCCTCTTTTTCTAGAAAATTATAACAAACGCCCCACTGGGCATGTTCAAAAGGTAGTACAATGCATACTGAAATTACTAAAAGTTTGCATTTCGATATTAAAGTAAAACTTGAAAGAGAATTTCACGTAAAGTTTACTTTTTTTGACTGTTTTTTTTTTGATAAAGTGTGGATTGATTCATGTCACTGGTAATTAGAAATGCAAATACTAATAGTTTTCTTTTCGATTTCAACGTAAAACTTCAAAGTTTTACCAAAAACATTTTCTTCCTGCACGTTTTCTTGAGATAAAAAAAACTTTCCTTTTTTGTAAAGAAGTGTTGTTACTCTTTTGCGTATCCTTTTTGTACCTAGATTAGAAGTGGTTGGGAAGAGGAACTTTTCAGTGTTTTTCGCGTTCCCGATTGTGGGTTAAGTAGGTCTGCGTCGACGGTAAATATAGACGCGCAGGTCTATAAATACGCGTCGGATGCATTTTACTTTCATCTAAATTTAGAAACCCTCTAATTGCGGCACGCAAACCGAATTTCCTGAAGGACGTCGACACCGCTGAACATCCACCAAAAACAATACCGAATACTCAACAATCTCTCAACCAATTACTTTTTCTTTCTGTTGCAGGGGTGCCTTCTCCGTCGTCAAAAGATGCGTGCAGAAATCCACCGGTCTGGAATTTGCAGCCAAAATAATCAACACAAAAAAACTCTCAGCCAGAGGTAAGTTATTAACTTTTCTTTTGTATCTATAAATGATGTATTTTTTTTAAAAATTCGATTTGCAATTTCATCTCGCGATGCGACTAAGAATAAATAAGAAAAACTGTATGGGATTGATGTTAAAAGACAAATAGGCAGTAAGTGGTGGTGCGGATCGATTCGTTGTGCGGCCGAAAAGTAATTCGATTTGACAACGGCGCGTTTAAGCGTCGCGTTTTTCTCTATTAACGACCTTCTCCACCCCCATTTCCAACGTACAGCCCCCCAGAGGATGCCGCCTCCCCGACAATTTACGATATTAAAACCGCCGGAGTGAACAAATACGAAGAGGAGCACAAGCAAGGAAAAAAAAGTATATAAAAATAAACTCGCAAATGGGAATCTTCGCTTGAATTTTAAAGAAACATCTCCTGCGAATAATAATAATACAAAATAATCTCATTTTTTTTGTATCTACTTAAAATATTAATAATCACATTACATTACACATTAAATTGGATTGAAATAAAAATGTATAAAGATGCAAGTGTTGAAAATGAGAATTTTCTTTTAAATCTTAAAAAAATATCGTACAAATCATCAAATTGATATGAAATTATATCAAAATGTGATTTACAAAGCATTTTTTTTTTTAAGTAGTGGAATCTCCGGGTTATCATTGATCATATCAGAATGAAATACTAAATTTCTTTTGATTTGGAGAAAAAATAAACTTCATAGAAATTTTATCATCACATTGCAATTTACAAAGGAATTTGTTCGAAACTCACAAAATCGTCGGGGTTTCATTCATATTTTACTTGTATTATTAGAATGATATAAGAAAATATGGATATGTTCGTGGAGTCACAAGATTTATATTCGATTTGTGCGCATATTGATAGAATAATGGAAAAAATTATCAAAAAATATCATTGAAAAAATTTTCCTTTATATCGATTTACCAAGAATTTTTGAATAGAAATTTCATCATCACATTGTAATTTACAAAGGAATTTGTTCGAAACTCACAAAATCGTCGGGGTTTCATTCATATTTTACTTGTATTATTAGAATGATGTAAGAAAATATGGATATTTTGGTGGAGTCACAAGATTTACATTCAATTTGTGCGCATATTGTTAGAATAATGGAGAAAATTATGAAAAAATATCATTGATAAAATTTTCCTTTATATCGATTTACCAAGAATTTTTGAATAGAAATTTCATCATCACATTGTAATTTACAAAGGAATTTGTTTGAAACTCACAAAATCGTCGGGGTTTCATTCATATTTTACTTGTATTATTAGAATGATGTAAAAAAATATGGATATTTTGGTGGAGTCACAAGATTTCTATTCGATTTGTACGCATATTGTTAGAATAATGGAGAAAATTATCCAAAAATATCATTGATAAAATTTTCCTTTATATTTATATTACCAAGAATGTTTGAAAAGTGGTGAAATTGTGGTCGTTTTTATTCACTCTTTAAGCATATTGTTGGATTTTTGGAGGAAACTGCTTTCAATAATAAAAGAAAATTTGTATAAGAAATTACATTAAAATTTAATTTACAACGAACGTTTGAAAAGTGGTTGAAAACCAAGCATTTTCATTCATACTTTACGTATATTGTTGGAATGATGGAAATTTTAGAACATACTCTGATTTTCCATTCAATCCAATTCAATATATAAATTAAGTGTATTTTTTGTGAATTCAATAAAATTTAGTTGAAAATGTTGAAAAAACATTTAAGAATTATTTTTTCATATCACATTTTATAAAATAAGTAATTAAATAATTAGAATTTCGTTAATTTTACAATGATAATCTACATAATTTGATTACAGTTTGTAAAATAATAAATTTATGGTGGATGCGCCCGGTCTCGCAAAGATTAATTTAGATTTTCATGAAAAAAACGTTACATTATTTCCTTAAAAAAACCATAAACAATCATTTAAAATATAGAAACAAAACAAGGAAATAACATATACCAATTGCATTCATGTAAAAAACTGTGTTATAAAATGGTGGATGCGCCTGGTTTTCTCAAATTTAAACAAACTTTTTCTTAATGAATATGAAAGTTTTTTTCTATTTTCTTAATCGACTTTAATACTTCAGTCTATCACAAATAAAAACCATTCAATTTCATCAACAAAAAAAATATTATTTTCTTGTAATTTCATTGTTTAACTATGTTCAATATTGGGTGAAGTAAAAAGTTCTGAACGATGATTTCCATTGATTTTATCAACATTTTCGACCAGAAATTTCTTAATTTTGACGTCCATATTACCAGAACGGAGGCTTTGGAACCAACGCTTTACTATTGCATTCAGTACTGTATTGACCGCTTGCTCATAGTGGTACAGAAAATGTATAGAATTTTCTCATTTTTACCTCTATTTTGGAACGCTCTAACTCACAACTGGATTCACTAAACACTAAACTATCAAAGAACTTTAAATAAAGCGTTATATCGCCTTTAAGTCGTAATATATAATGACAAGATGAAACGTATACATCGTGAGATATGGCTCACTAAAGCCATCTAACGAAAAACGCTCAAAACTTTTTACTTCACCTTATTATATTAACAATTTACTTAAGTAAATGAAAATCTAATTCAGATAATCTTAATGCAGAAATATACACTTACCTGTTATAATAATAATCAGCGCTCAAATCCAAATATTTACAACTGAATTACCTAAAAATACAATTTTTTCTATTGAAATCTAATTCCATTGAATGCATATTATATGATTTTACCTAATACTCAGAGAGAGAGGGCCCATCAGAAATCCTGCAGCTTATCCTGGGCGTGTATTTGCTCGGATCGAATTTTGGGAATCCGCATGAACGGAACGAAATTCGTGCTCATATATTCATAACGTCGACGCTCTGATTCTCCCGCACGAAGAAAAATCAATATGATTACTCCATCGTTCCAAGCAGACGCACACATTGAATGAATCTGAAAAAAAAATAATTATTGCAAAACGTAAAGAAACGCAACTGCGGTGTCCCATTCAAATACATAAAAAAAGGAATTAAAAGTGAGAAAATGGGATCTGGAATATAAACAACAAGAATAGAAACTGGAGCTTTAAAAAATGCATCGGGATTCAATAGGATGCGGACGCTCGAATGGGACTGGGACACGGTTTTGAAAGAAGAGAAAGAGAAAAATAGAATGGAATAGGCGACGAAGATCGTCCAATTTCATCCGAGCTTCGTGTATGTTCCAATTCTAAATTATTCAACGCTGGATGCGGATTATCCTTTTTTCTACTCTCTTTCTCTTTTCGTCGTTCTTTTTTTTTTGGGAGGGGTTGGGGTGTGAGAACTGGGGGAAGCTCACATCACGTATAAATCAATTACCTCAGAATCTTCGCTTCGCAGTTGGGAGGGTTGCAGGTTCGGAATCCCTTCAAAAACAGTTGTCATGGTTTCCTCCTTATGAACCCGTTTCGAAAAGGACGACGACTTGTGTCCTCCATCTAATTGGGTACGAATGCAAACCGAGAGCCATCTCCGATCGATTCTTCGTTAATTGGATTTCACGAGAACTTCATTAATATATATATACGTCCTTACCATTACCATAGTCGAAGATATTCAACACGATCGAAGCAAATACACATTTCTACAGCACTGACATTTCAATAAACACAACTGTCAAAATGTTTGTTTGTTTGTTTGTTTATTTGTTTTATTCATTTTTTTTTCATTTTTCAGCCAACTACAATTTCAAAGAAACAAAAACAATCGATATGCATTTCAATTTCATTTTGACAATATTTCAACAAAATTATTCAAATTTGTTTTGTACATATTATAAATTGTCGTCTTAATGACATTTCAATAAACACAACTGTCAAAAAGTTATCCGCTCAAGTCAAATTTTTCAATTTTCAGCCAACTACAATTTCATAGAAAAAACAATCGATATGCATTTCAATACGATTTATTCAAAAGCACTTGTTCTTTTTTGGTTTAATTTGACAATATTTCAACAAAATTATTCAAATCTGTTTTTTACATATTATAAATTGTTTTCTTAATGACATTTATATAAACACAACTGTCAAAAAGTTATTAGCTTTATTCAATTGTCAGCCAACTACAATTTAAAAAAAATCGATATGCATTTCAATACGATTTATTCGAAAGCACACTTGTTCTTTTTTGGTTCAATTTGACAATGTTTCAACAAAATGATTCAAATCTGTTTTTTACATATTATAAATTTTTTTCCTAATGACATTTCTATAAATACAACTGTCAAAATGTTATTCGCTTCATTCATTGTTTTTAATTTTCAGCCAACTACAATTTCATAGAAAATAAAAATCGATATGCATTTGAATACGATTTATTCGAAAGAACACTTGATATTGTTGTTGTTTCATTTAGACAATTCTTTAACAAATTACTTAAATTTAGTTATTACATATTATAAATTGACTTCTTAATGACATTTCAATAAACACAACTGTCAAAAAGTTATCCGCTTCATTCACATTTTTAAATTTTCAGCCAACTATAATTCATAGAAAATAAAAATCGATATGCATTTGAATACGATTTATTCGAAAGAACACTTGATTTTTGTTTGTTTCATTTTGACAATACTTTAATAAATTACTCAAATTTGGTTATTACATATTATAAATTGTCGTCTTAATGACATTTCAATAAACACAACTGTCAAAAAGTTGTCCGCTCCTTTCAATTTTTTCAATTTTCAGCCAACTACAATTTCATAAAATAAAAAGTATGTATTTCAATACGATTTATTCGAAAGCACACTTGATGTTTTTTTGTTTCATTTTGACAATTCTTTAACAAATTATTCAAATTTGGTTATTACATATTATAAATTGTCCTTTTAATGACATTTATATAAACACAACTGTCAAAAAGTTATTCGTTGCATTCACATTTTTAAATTTTCAGCCAACAATAATTCATAGAAAATAAAAATCGATATGCATTTGA